GTGATGTTGAGTGGTGTGATGTCACATGGTGTGATTTTGGTGTGGTGTGATTTTGGTGTGCTGTGCTGTCAGGTGTGATTCAGTGTGCTGTGGTGCTGAGTGGTGTGATGTCATGTGTGATTTTGGTGTGCTGTGGTGTTGAGTGGTGTGATTTTGGTGTGGTGTGATTTCAGTGTGCTGTGCTGTCGGGTGTGATTTCAGTGTGCTGTGATGTTGAGTGGTGTGATTTTGGTGTGCTGTGATTTCGGTGTGCTGTGCTGTTGGGTGGTGTGATTTCAGTGTGCTGTGGTGTTGAGTGGTGTGATGCCACATGGTGTGATTTCGGTGTGCTGTGCTGTCCAGTGGTATGATTTTGGTGTGCTGTGGTGTTGAGTGGTGTGATTTCGGTGTGCTGTGCTGTCGGGTGCTGTTGATTGTTGTGTCTGAGGCCATCAGGAGTCCCTGTGTCCCTGAGGCCACAGTGAGGGTGGCCCACTTGTCTTGGGCCTGTCCAGGGACTCTCCCTTGCCCTGGATCCAGAGGGCCCCTGGGGAGATGGGCTGCTGTCCCCTGGCTCTGAACAGCCTGTGGCCATGTGACTCTCTTTCCAATGAAGCCCATCAAAGCCGTCCTGGACAGACAATGCCCTGGGTCCTTTTCTGGGTCACAGTCCAGGCAGGCAGGGAGATTCAAACCCTCGCTGGAGGAAGGGAAATGGAGGTGTGAGGAGGCCAGGCTCACGGAGCCCCAACGTGCCACCTTTGCCCCACCATCCCTTGGTGAATAGCCCGGGGTTGGGCAGAGAAGCCCTTACGGGGTCTGGGTCTCTTCTTGGGCTGCAGATCTCGCATATGTGCACCTTACCACCATCCACACTCCACCACAAGACACACCGCAGGCCTGACACCCACACCAGGCTCGTGCTGGTCAGGCCTGGGGCTCGGGTTGCGGTGTGGCCTGCCCTGCTCCCTGTTAATGGGGGTTTGGCACCCCTTACCTTCCAGAAGGGAAGGTGGGGGGGACAGGGGGGGAGAGTGACAGGCAACCACAGGGCCCTCCGGGCCACCATCTGGCTTCAGGGGTCACAGCAGCACTTATCTGCATCCAAACCCCACACCACACGTCTGTCCTCTGCCCAGTCTCGAAGTTCATCCAGCCCTGCGGGCCGCTGAGTTCCTCCAGGACCAGCGAATCCCTTCACCCCTGCTCGGCCACCTGGCCTGCGGCGTGAGGCTGCGGCGTGAAGCCCTGGCAGGCGTGCCCTCGGGGCTCACACTCAAGCTCAGCTAGATCTGCGAACCCAGAAAGCCCAGGTCACACAGGGAGAGAGGGGCAGCATGACGCCATGACCATCTCAACCCAGCTGAGATCACCAGAGGCAACGGGAAATGAGAGGCAGGGGGTTTGCTGAGAAATAAAGAGATATGAAATGACAGATCCAGGAAAGCCCTAAATGGGACCAAAGCCAGAGCTATAGTAACAACCAGCTCTGCACCATGCCCACCAAGGCCAGCGTGCTGAAAACCCACGATGATGATCTTGAAATCGTTCAGAGAGGAAAGGAGCCTCAGAGAGGAGCGGCTGCACACGCCATCACCAACTTCTAGCAGAGTCGAGGTGAGCCAGACACTGGGCCGAAGCTTCACAGCTTGAGCCGTCCAGAACCCTATACCCAGCAACACAGCCTTCAAATAAAGGGATAAATAGACCCCTTCTAAAAGGGGCGGGGCTGGGGGAGCTCATTGCCTCTGCTGTAAGAAACGTGAAGCAAGGGCTGGGAAGGTGGCTCAGTGGTAGAGTGCTTGCCTTGCATGCATGAAGCCCTGGGTTCCATTCCTCAGTACCACATACACAGAAAAAGCCAGAAGTGGTGCTGTGGCTCAAGTGATGGAGTGCTAGCCTTGAGCTTCTTAAAAGAAGCTCAGGGACAGTGCCCAGGCCTTGAGTTCAAGCCCTAGGACTGGCAAAAAAAAAAAAAAAAATGTGAAGCAAGTTCTTCAGCCCAAAACTGCGACACTTGGACATTGGTGGCTCACACCTGTAATCCCAACTGCTCAGGCTGCCGAGACATGAGGATCACGGTTAGAAGCCAGTGGGGAAGAAAGTCTATGACACGCTGATCTCTAACCACCAAAATTCTAGCTGGCAGGCATAGCTCAGGTGGCAGAGCACCAGCGTGAGTGAGCTGAGTGGGCTTGAGGCTCTGGCTTCGGGCCATCCCTGCCTAAGGTGTGGTGTGCAGAGACGCCCAGACTCGCCTGCACAGCCAAGTGCTCACAAGTTCTGCGTCTGCTCCTGCTGGGTGTGGGGAGGGACGGAGGGAGGGGCCTAGGGGAAGGGGTGCAGACAGAACTAAGGAAACCTGAAACCAGACTTCCAGGGCCTGGATCCCAAGTGGACAGGACTAAGGCCCACTGGGGTGGGAGTCGCCGCTGCCCCTTGACGGGAGGCCAGGGGCCTGTAGACTGTCCACCCCTTCTGTGTGGGGGAAGGGAAGGGGGAGGGGCCCCAATCTGAGGTAGCCTGGAGAGGCCACCCTCTGGTGGCCTTTCTAACGAGATGCTGATAGGAATGGGAGAGCCCCATTGCACACAGGAGGCTACCTTGGGGGTCTCTGGGAAGCAGGAACCCATTGCACACAGGAGGCTACCTTGGGGGTCTCTGGGAAGCAGGAACGGGGGCCACCAAGTGTTCCCTGCTACCCCAGAGACAGGC